GCGAGCGGAAGGTAGAGTAGAGGTCCCACTTACTTCGGCTCGCTTGGTACCGGTTTGAAAATTTTGAATTGTACGTGGAGTTTAATTACAGTACGGCTATCATAGTGCCGAACGAGCCGAAGGTATGCGAAAGCGATAGTTCTCAAACCTAGGTAGGTGAGGTTTCACTTACCCATCAAGCTTTTACTCCACCTAGGTTTGTGCCAAGCGAGCCGAAGGTCGAGTAGAGGTCGGACCTTTACCCTGCCTAGGCATAGCGTGCCGCAGTTAGAGTAGAGGTTCTACTTAACTCCTCAGACTTTTTCTCTGTCCAGGTTTGTGTCCAACCTAGTTAGGGTAAAGGTCCGACTTACTCCATCATACCCAAGATCAGACCTTTACTCTGCCTAGGTTTGTGCCGAACTCGCCTTCGGTTCACTCGGCACTGGTTTTAAAAGTGTCACTGTTGCGTGGAAGAAAGTCTATTTCAATGCCGAACGATCCGAAAGTATGCGAAAGTGGTAGTGTTCAAAGCAGGGTCGAGCGAGCCGAAGGCGAGTTCGACACAAACCTAGACAGAGGGAGGTCTGACTTACTCCATCAGCCTTTGACTTCGCCTAGGTTTGTGCTCAGATCGCCGTAGATAGAGTAGATGTATCACCATCGGATTTTTATTCTGCCTAGGTTTGTGTCAAACCCAAGAACAGAAGTTTATTTTGCCTAGGTTTGGGCCGAACTCGCCTTCAGCTCGCTCGACACTGGTTTTAAAAGTGTCGCTTTTGCGTGGAAGTTTAATAACAGGCTTATTTTAACCAGTACCGGGCGATCCCAAGGCGGCACAAACATAGGCATCAGGATGAGTTCTGACTTACCCCCATCAAACTTTTACTCCGCCTAGGTTTGTGCCCAGCGAGCCGAAGGTAGAGTAGAGGTCTGACTTACCCAGAGCGGTTTATCGCGAGCGCTCGGGAAAAGTGCTCGTAAGCGGAAAACCCCGCTCGCGAGCGGAAAAAACGCTCGCGGGCAGAAAAAAGCGCTCGAGCGCCGAGCACTTTAAGTAAACGCTCGAGTATCGAGCACTAAGCGGCCGCTCCGAAAAGTGCTCGTGAGCGGGTCGCTCGCAATTGCTTTTTGCGCTTGGAGCGCGTTTTCGAGGGAAACTCTCGCGAGCAGTACCCAGCTTTGGACTTTTACGATGCCTAGGATTGTGTCGAGCATGCCGAATTTTACTCTGCCTAGGTTTGTGTCGAACTCGTCTTCGGCTCGCTCGGCACTGGCTTTAAAACTTTTGCGTGTAAACCAATGCCGAGCGAATCGAAGGCGAGTCCGGCACAAACCTAGGCAAAGTAGAGACTTTAAGTCCGCCTCGGTTTGTGCCCCCCGAGTCGAAGGTAGAGTAGAGGCACAGATCGGATCTTATTACCCTACCTAGGTTTGTGTCCAGCGTGTCGAAGTCAGAGTAGAGGTCCGACTAACCCATCAGAACTTTACTCTGCCTAGGTTTGTGCCGAACTCGCCTTCGGCTCGCTCGGCACTGGTTTGGAAACTACCACTTTCGTATACCTTCAGTTTTGCGGCAAAACAGGGACCCGGACCCAAATGAAATATCGGTTCCGGTTCAGTTTATATTTAAGCGAAAATATTTATAACGGTTCCGGTCCGGTTTCGGTTCTAAAAAGAAATTCCGGTTCGGTTCTGTGCATTTTCGGTCCATAACGGTTATTTTCGGTTCTAGTTTTTCAGAAAGTGTGGCATTCAAAAAATTCATTATAACAACGTGGTTTGTTAATTAATAGGTGTGAAGAAAATGTCATGAATACCAAAACGTGACGTATCGTCAGTGTAGCTAATTTATAACGACAAGGGGAATAAAGGAGGAAGAGGGAAATATGTATTTACACTTAATTTATTACTAAAAAACAGAGCATTTTATTTTCTAAAACCTCGCCCCTCTTTTTAGCGCATTTTTGCAAATTTATTTGTAAAAAGTAGCTTTTAATCTCACTTTGGCTGGCTGGCTGGCTGGCTGGCTGGCTGGCTGGCTGGCAGCAAATGTGGGCGCGTAGAAGAACTCTTGTAGAAAGGCAACGGGTGTACGTGTATCTACAAGGCCGTGAAATTTGTCAACCTTAGGGACATGGCTACATGATGTGGGGTTGGCAACATCTGGGCGTCATCCTCGAGCGTAGTATACTAACGTGAAGGTTTTTCAGTTTTTTCCTATCTTCTACTACAGTTTTGGTCCGATTCTTTTGAAATTGGTGTCGTCGAAAAGATGTTGTAAACGCGCACAACTCCTGCGTGGCGGAATTTTGTTTTTTGTCATAGGGGCGAAATTAACGACCTTTTGCGAGGCGCGCGCGCGCGTCTTCGAGAAGTAGTCAGGCGCCTTTTACCTTCCGTTGCGAACTCACGCGGTTTAACGTTTCGTGAATCTCGAATCGCTGTCTCTCTTTCTCGTTTCGCCAATAGAAGTGAATTGCGAGTGAACGGGACGTCGGAAGTGGGTACCGTAAAAGAGAATGTGGTAGCCCGCGACACGATCTCACTGATGGTGGAGTCAAATCTTCAATCGCGAATTGCGGGTGAACGGGACGTCGGAAAGGGGTACCGTCAAAGGAAATGTGGTAGCCCCCGACACGATCTTCCTGATGGTGGAGTCAAATCTTCAAACGCGAATTGCTGGTGAACGGGACGTCGGAAGGGGGTACCGTCAAAGGAAATGTGGTAGCCCCCGACACGATTTTCCTGATGGTGGAGTCAAATCTTCAAACGCGAATTGCGGGTGAACGGGACGTCGGAAGGGGGTACCGTCAAAGGAAATGTGGTAGCCCGCGACACGATCTCACTGATGGTGGAGTCAAATCTTCAAACGCGAATTGCGGGTGAACGGGACGTCGGAAGGAGGTACCGTCAAAGGGAATGTGGTAGCCCGCGACACGATCTCACTGATGGTGGAGTCAAATCTTCAATCGCGAATTGCGGGTGAACTGGACGTCGGAAGGGGGTACCGTCAAAGGAAATGTGGTAGCCCCCGACACGATCTTCCTGATGGTGGAGTCAAATCTTCAAACGCGAATTGTGGGTGAACCGAACGTCGGAAGTGGGTACCGTCAAAGGGAATGTGGTAGCCCCCGACACGATCTTCCTGATGGTGGAGTCAAATCTTCAAACACGAATTGCGGGTAAACGGGACGTCGGAAAGGGGTACCGTCAAAGGGAATGTGGTAGCCCCCGACACGATCTTCCTGATGGTGGAGTCAAATCTTTAAAAGCGAATTGCGGGTGCACGCGGAAAGTGGGAAGCGGTTAGTGAATGTAGTAGCCTTCGACAAGATCTGTTATTGATGGTTGAGTCGACAGTGGCTAATAGAATACTGATCTGCCACACAAAAATGCGCTGAAGTCCCTTCGATCTCAAACGAGGACTTTGATAATTTTTTTTATTTTTTTTAAGTAGTGGCTAAATTAGCCCCACCGCCACCCGTAATGCCTTCAATTTTGACACCTTATTAAAAATTTATAATCCACCGATGGCAATCATGGAGTAATATTTTATCAATTTTCAGGACGTGGTTGTCGGCGCGTCTTTCAACTTCCAATAACCTGTTAAGAACCGTAAAAAACCGAAAATAATCGAAAGAAGTAATATGGGTTCCGGTTTTCAATACGTTTCCATTTGTGAAGGAATAACAGTTTCGGTTCGGTTTTCGGTCCAGAAAAAAATACCAGTTTCGGTCCGGTTTTCGGTTCTTTTCGGTCCGGTTCGGGTAACTGGTTTTGCCTGAAAGTTTAATAACAGTCCTATTATAATGCCGAGCGAACCGAAGAGGCCAGTTCAACACAAAAGTAACCTCTTACGCTTACCCTCTCTGCTTCCGTTTGTATCCGCCATTAAAATAGAGCGCAATCGTAGACCCCGAAAACCTTTTAAAACCGAACACAATTTTGCAACCCACAGAAAAATTGTTCCTGACGGTAATTTTGAACCTGATGAACATTCAGCCCCAGAAAGATCTTCGAGATCAAGCAAAGCTCTTCAATAGAAGTCAAACCGTCTGGCTTTGGCACTATTGTCCCTCAAGGTGAGCCGTCTTTGGATTAATATCACTTTCCAATAACTTCAAACGGGGGATGTAGAACAGAGCACCCAAGAAAATTCGCACCCAGGTTTTCCCTATAACTACGAACTTAAGGGTCATCCACAGATCTCGTTTCTGCAACACTGGGTACTTACTCATTGTAACTTCGAAGAAAAACGACGAATCGGATAAAGCTATTGTAGTCCAATCGATGAAGCAGAACAAGTCAAGAATATTCTGGATCGGAAATGGCGAAGGATTGTTGACGGACGAGTTTGAAATGTCAAATAAACAGAGGAGGGGGACCATGACCAGGAAGCGACATAACCGAAGAACGCGATCAAGACGATAGTTAGGTACTAAGTATTCGAGTGTGCTGAAGAAGCTGGAGAGGGAGTCCAAAAATCAATGAAACTCTTCAGAAGCGAATTGTTTTTCTCCTTCCTTATTCCTCTACTTCCTTACTAATCCGTCCCTGTTCTTCATCTGTTCTGCACTATGTTCTGTCGATTCTTTCTCGCCTGAGCGAACTTACCGTTCACGAATCTTAGAGGAACGAAGATTAGATTAGATTGGATGCGTTGAAGGATACGATGGGAGGGGGATATCTCCAATGGAATTTTCAAGTTGGGGGCTGTGGGCCGTTTTTGAGACAGCATGTATAACTACCATACAAAGTAACAATCAATTGCGTGACCTTATAGAAAAGGGGGTTAAAATTAACTATATTTGGCCGCCTGGAAATCTATGTTTTATAATCAAACTTTTATTTATACAAAATGTAGAACGCCATCTAATATTGTATTATGAAACCTACCTTCTACTTTTTCTTTTGCACGCCTCTACCGAATGCGACCACAAGAAAACGGTATCAAGTGCGCATGAACCACCGCCAGCTGTCGCTAGTGTGCGAATACCAGCTGATAAGTATAGTTTTACTACTACAGATACGGCATACGGCAATGAAACTTTCGCTGTTCTATTTCCTTTTAACCTCAAATTACCTAAGGCTCGTAAAGAGAAAAGGAAAATAAACCGTAGTGCTGATTGCGTGTCGAAAATAGTTTACATACACACGCACGGTGTGTGCAGTGTTGATTGTGTTTTCAGGGTGGCTGTCAAAATTTCGCGAAACACTCGCGTTTTAAATACGAACCCCCGTAAAAATTTCGAAAGAATGTTGTTTAAATTGAAAGGGTGCGATCGGGAAAATGTTTTTAGTGCGTTTAACGCGTTATCTTAATTTATGTGTATGAGACGAATTCGCCTAATTTATCATTGGATACCGTACCTTTCGTAAATTTAATTAAACAATTGCAGGTAAGTGCAACTGTTTTTTAAAGTGAACGTGTTGCATGTTGCAGTCGGGAATTTATTGATTTTTATTTCCACCCTTGACTGGATGCAAATATTTCAGTCTCTTTCACCTGCACTTGGAGCGTATTTCAAACGAAAAGGTGTGTCAATTAAGTCACTTAATAAATGTCCGCATTAAATTACATTCTACCGCATGCGAAAATGTCATCGATGACTAAGATCTCGTTATTGGACTGCGATTTGTAAACATTTCGGCTCGTCTTTATCTAATTATGCGCTAATTGTTGCGCTCTACCGATTGCAAGTAAACCCCTCGCGTCCAAGTGTCATGTTTTGATTACGTCGTAAAGTCATTCCGCGTTTTACGAAACGTAAATATCGGAAAGGTCGTAAACGTGAATGCATCATTCATAATTTTTTTTATAAAACAAATGAATGGCACCTGGTGGTTAGTCAACTCGCGCTGCATCGATAGGGTGTGATATACAGGGTGTTTCAATTATCAATATATTCCACAAGTTGTAGGATCAAGGGTAAAGCGATCCCTTGCAGTTCACGTCTCATTTTCTCTCTCTGTTCTATAACGTGTTAATTACGATCTGCAAAAATACAATGCGATCATAATAAGTGGATGGGTCGTCTTTTGCTCTCGAGGGTAAACAAACATCGTGATTGGTTATCCGCAAGCATCGCCAATTAAATAGGTGACTCAGTCGGGGGGCGCCGAGCTCTCCCGGATGTCCAGACACTCCGATTGGGTGTCGTTGGAGAAGACGTGCAGATTTCGCCAAAATTCGTCGTAAGTTCGTAAGGAAGAGAAATTAATTAGTAGCGCATCATTAATTATCGGTCAAATCTATTGTGTAAGGGTTATATTTTATAACTCTAAAATTCGTTCCTTTAGTTATTCCTTCAAATAAATTATCCTTAGCATGCCCTGTATATCATTTTTCGCCAGTCACTTGTTGTGTGCGGCTCATGAGCCGTCGAAGTCAAAATTAAACCTGCATTATGCCCACTCGTCGAATAAGAATCGAATTGAATACAAGATGTCGTCATACAGCCATCAATACTAATGAGCGTGTGTGTTAAAAAGCAACATTATTTGTGCTTTCGTTGTTATCATCGCCTTCGTTGTTTTGATCAACCAACAAGCGACGTTCAACATCGCCAACCACCATCGTTTATCGCCTTTGTTTGTTTATTAAATCTACTCCGCAACAACAAAGTAAGTCCTTTCGCTCATATTCCTTTTCTTAATTGTTCCTATTTATAGTACCTACAATATCCACGTCAAATCAAGATTAGAATCAATTTACTTGTGTTTATAATCAATAAACACGTTAATCATTAATGTCGATATTCTTTTAACATTCGGCGTACCTATACGAAAAGCATAGCAGTTCTTCCAAATAATAAATGTCGAAGCTTCATTTTTATACGCAACAAATGGTATGGATCCGGGCCCGCCAATCAACCATCTTTGGCGTTTTTTCTCCTCGAGGTCGACTCAGTGTGGGATTCACCCTGGGGTAATAACAGGTGGCTATGGAATGTAGTGCTTACCACATTACCTCCCTGGAATTCGTTCCAGTTACCTATAGCCGGGCTAAACTAAGTGGTTCTCACCCGGAGCTATTAACTACGAGGGCAGTTTGATAAGTCTGACTTTATTAATGAAATATATTTTTTCGCCTAAGCGTTTTATTTCTTATCCGAATTTCTCTCCCGAATGAGACATAAGCACATCCAAATGTTTCTTTTCCGGGTCAAACATAAGCTCGGTTTCGGAGGATGCGCCGCCTCCCCTCGTCCAAATATCCTACTCCTGGATGGGACGTAACTGGCTTTCGTTTTATAAAAATCTTAACCCAATTATTTTTAATATTTAATGATACACAATACATTGGCACACTTAAATGGGAATAGGTTCATACACTGAAATTCTAATATGTAGGCAACAAATACGTAATAATCTCGGTAATAATGTACCTACGGTTTCTGTTTACGGCCCAGTGGCCTCTCGTTACATACCTAGGGCTAAAAGTTCGATACCTCGTTCGATGCACAGAGGAAAAAACGTTTCAGGATGACAGAGGTACCTAACGGGACGGAGAGTGAGTAGTTATACAGGAGGGGTTTAAATCGGAGAAATCCATCTTTAATTCAAGGCGCCGACTGACTGAATTATACGGTACACCGACGCGCTTTATATCGTAATAATGTGACCTTGAACCGACCTCTAGTTTGTAAAAAGATCATTTGGAAACGTGAAGTGACCTTTGGTCAATACCTTGACGGTTACTACAGGGGCGAGCGGAGAGCGAGTGATCTTTGGACTTTACCTTAACCTACTCTCCAAGGTCACCGCAAGGTTACTAACAGAGGACGACCCTCCCAAAAAGTCAATGATCTAGAATGACCTTAAGAATGTAGGCCAATGACCTCGAAATTATATGGTTCAATGACCACGGATGACACTACATAAAATGGGGCCAATGCCCTCGAATGAAATGAAATTTATTGAGGCAATGACCTCGGATAACCTTGAAAATGTAATTTGATACCACAACAAAACCGGGGCCAACGAAATCGTATGGTCTTAATTATTTATGAGGGCCAATGACCACGGATGTCCTTGAAAATGTAATTTGGTAACAAAAAAGTGAAGTCAATGTCTTCGGGTGACCTCGAGGGTGACCTTGAACATTTATGGGGACAATGACTTTTGATGACTTTGGAAATTCAATGTGATGCCCCAAAAATGGGGTCAATGGCATCTGATGACCTTGAAAATTAACGGGGTCAATGACCTCAGATGAAAATTGCTGTCACCGAGCACTGGTCACTCAACTCTCACCTTGACCCAATTCCCAAGGTCACTGCCACGTTACATTGACCTACTTTTCAAGGTCACCACCAGGTGGCGAGCGACCTTGAAGTGAGCCAGGAACCGCCCTGTATAACTACTAGAATGGCACGGTGCTTTGCTTCAAAAGTGGTAGATGTCGAAACTGACCCCCCCCTCCATACACTGCCGTACCGTGGAAGCAAGGCCGAGACGCAGTACCTCTGGAAAGGCTCGATTTTTTGTTAACGTTCGGGTACTTTCGCTAATTGATAGCTGCTAAGGTCTATATTTGTCCGTTACTCATCATTTACAGTTACGCGGCAACAACCACGAGTGGGCTTTGAAACGATGCTCCAACTAATTTTAGGAAGGAGATACATTATGTGGGATCGGCGACATCTGGGCGCCATCACCGAGCGTGTTATAATATCGTGGTGATTTTTTTTGCTTTTTCTACATCGACTTTAGAGGCCAAACAATTTCTTAGAGCTCAAATCGCGGTCACTCTTTCTCGTGTCTCCCATTGAAGCTCGAAATAGGAGAAATTCCACAAAAATTGATTACTATTTTGTGGAGAATAATTAACGAAATGAAGATCTTACTGATCTCGTTACTGATGGTGGAGTCAATACGTCAACTGCGAAAAGGAATGTGATAGCCTTGGATAAGATGTATTGATACGGTATGGAATACCCTCCCTCCTCCCACCGTAAAAAGCAAATTTTATTCCTTTTTCCTAGGGGGTACTCCAGACTCCCGGTTCTGTGATGCCTAAAATGAGTTAATGAGTCCTCGGGGATTAACGTACTGTACGGGAACGTAGCACCGGTGGGTCTGGGACTTTTCGTTTTCCATGGGAGGCGATGGGAGGTATTCCAGATCTCCGATTCGGTGATTTTGCCCAAAACGAATTGAAAAAAGGGTGACGTTTTTTAAGCACCACGAGAGTCCTCAGCAGGAATTAACGTACTGCAGGGGAACGCAGAACCGGGGGGGGGGGGGGAATTTTTTTCTTATAATTAGGTATTTTCTTTTTCCTGCCGGGGGTATTTCCAGCCCCCCTCAGGTTTTTGGTGATTTTGCAAAAAATGAGTGAAAAAGAGGATTGATGCTTTTTTAGCTCACGACAGTTTTTTTCAGAGACCTTTTCCCGGGGGAGAGGGGGGGGGGGTGTCAACCCGGTTCAGTGATTTTACCCAAAAATGTGTTAAAAAATCGCATGGGCCGACAGACGTAGGTAGATTTCTTTCCACCATTTTGTTCCAATATTGGCGGAATTGTGAGAGAGAGAGAGAGAGAGAGAGAGAGAGAGAGAGACATGAGAGGGAGAAGATGGTGAGGAGAGATAGAGAGAGAGAGAGAGAGAGAGGGGGGGGGGAGAAGGAGAGGGAGGAGGGAGAGGGAGAGATTTTTTTGAGAATGACGAGTGTCCCCGCGGATTAACGTACTGCAGGTGAACGTAACCGAGGGGAGGGGGGCCTGGGGGTATTCCAAACCCTTGGTTCTGTGATATTTTGCCCAAAGTGAGTTAAAAAATTATCAAAGTCCTCGTTTGAGATCGAAGGGACTTCAGCGCATTTTTGTGTGGCAGATCAGTATTCTATTAGCCACTTTCGACTCAACCATCAATAACAGATCTTGTCGAAGGCTAGTAGCTAAGCGCTTCCCACTTTCCGCGTGCACCCGCAATTCGCCTTTAAAGATTTGATTCCACCATCAGTAAGATCGCGTCGGGGGCTACCACATTTCCTTTGACGGTACCCCCTTCCGACGTCCCGTTTACCCGCAAATCGTGTTTGAAGATTTGACTCCACCATCAGGAAGATCGTGTCGGGGGCTACCACATTCCTTTTGACGGTACCCCCTTCCGACGTCCCGTTCACTCGCAATTCACTTCTATTGGCGACACGAGAAAGAGATTTACGAAACGGTAAACCGCGTGAGTTCGCAACGGAAGGTAAAAGGCGCCCGAAGTTGACTACTTCTCGAAGATAGGAAATAGGAAAAAACTAGTTAGTATACTACGCTCGAGGATGACGCCCAGATGTCGCCAACACCACATCATGTAGCCATGTCCCTAAGGTTGACAAATTTCACGGCCCTGTAGATACACGTACACCCGTTGCCTTTCTACAAGAGTTCTTCTACGCGCCCACATTTGCTGCCAGCCAGCCAGCCAAAGTGAGATTAAAACCTACTTTTTACAAATAAATTTGCAAAAATGCGCTAAAAAGGGATTAACGTACTACAGCCAATGCAGGGAAACATATCACCGGGGGGGGGGGGGTGCTCAGAGAATTTACCCACGCTCGGGGATGGCGCCCAGATGTCGTCGATCGTCATGTATCTCCCCAGGCTTTCATTTGTTAATTACTCGGTCCCGGTAGGTAAATGTACACTCTTCGTCTTTTTACAAGCGTTCGTTTACAGGCCCACAAGGAAAATTATTACGGAAGTTTTTTTCCAGGGGGGGGGGGGCTATTCCAGACTCGCCCCGTTCGTTGCGTTTGCAAGAAATTAAAAAAAAGATGGCGCCTTTTTTATGCTTCACAACAGGCCTAAACCCCACCCACCCGGAAAAAAGGGAATTTTCTTTTTTCCGGGACAGGGGGGGGGGGGGAATTCCAGACCCCGGTTCGGTGATTTTGTCCAAAATGAGTTTTTTTGGAACCTTGTGGATCTGCTTAAATGTTTTTTGAACTTCTGCACTAAAATTTTTTGTTGATATTCTTTCTTTAGTTCTCTAACCTTTTTTGAATTTACCACCTTGTGGTCATTCTGAACAGTATGAGAAATCAAACGCGCCCGAAAAACCGAGTGAATCTAAATATCAAAAAGTAACAAATTTGGATCACAAATAGGAAAGGGTAAATCTGCGCAAGTGCAATAATTTTCTTGCGTTTTTTAGTTTGCGGACGCTCTTCTATTTTTTATGTGCGTTTTCTCATTTTTTAAAAAGTACCTTCCCTTAAAATTTCAAAAAAATCCGTCCATAAATAAGAAAGTTGGGTCTGCGCATGCGCAATAAACGGCAAAACCTTAAAATTGTGCCTGTTGGAAGCTAATCGCTGGTTTTTTGGTTTCAGAATCATGTTTAACTTCATCAAAAAGGCAGGTACTGGCGTAACACAAGATAAAGAAGACAGAGAAAGAAGAAAAAAAGACAAGAAAGAGAGAAAAGAGAAACAGAAAAGAGACCGCACGAGTATTCTGACCGATGAACTGCTACGTCCCGAAGAGGTGAGGAGGTCCTTAAAAATACGCGGGCGCCGCAAAGAGAAAGAGAAGCTGCCGCTCGGAATCACAGCCGATTACACTGCCGACTTCCTCGCGAGCTTCGACCGAGTCGACAGGGCCTCGATAACCTTGACGACGTCACAATACACGCTCACGCATCTGCAGGACGGTTTCACGCAGTCGGATAGTTCGGAAGCCAGCCTAAATTCGCTGACAAATTTGCAAAATCAGAAGGTGGCGCCGCCGGTGCCTCCGAAACCGCCCAAGCGAGGCATACTGAAGGGACCCAAGGTCAGCGTAACGCAAGAGAACGGTGAACAGAACGGCACCGATCACCTGAACCTAGTACGAAATACGCTTCAAAACGAAGTGATAGGCTACCAAAATCTACCTCCCCAAAACGGATTTACCAAAGACAAGTGCCTACTCTCGACGAACCTAGGCAACAATTTACTGGTCATAACCTCGGCGTCGGCGAGCGCCGACTCGCTGACCGACACGACGAACTCGTCCTTTGCGACGCCGCCGTTCTCGCTGAGTCCGGTCGGCGAGTCGCAGGGTTTCCATCGGTGGTCGCGCACGGCGAACTTCGACGACTACAACCTGCCGTTGCCGCCGGTGATACCGCTCGTCCTGCCCAAACCGCGAACGCTGACGATACAGAGACAGAAGGCGCCGCGGAACGATTTCGGTTTTTCGTTGCGACGCGCCATGGTACTCGAACGTAGTGATAGTAACAATAGTGGCGTGAACATGCGGGCGGTCGTTTTCGCGGAGCCGGGCACGATAGTGCAGCATAACAACGAGACCGGACTGCTGCCCGGCGATAAGCTGCTCGAGGTTAACGGTATACGGGTCGAGGAGAAGACGCGAGAGGAAATTATAGATCTTATCAAGAGATCCAAGGATTCAGTCACTGTTAAGGTAAGGCCCCACGTTGGGCGCCAAATACTTGCAAGTAAAAGCCCCACGTTGGGCGCCAGTTGTTAAGTGCCGAAGATTAGAAAACGATCAATTATTTAACAATGTTCATTCAACACGTTTTTGACCTTTATTGCATTGTAATGAAAGCGAAATGTTACGTTAACGCTACTTATAATGGCGAACGTGAGTATGATGTATTTCGTATTCGTTCACGTTTCTCGTCGGACCGGGGAATATTTTCGAGAGGTAGGTATGACCTAAAATTAGACCATGAATTGGAAAACTATTAGTATGCTTCCATTCAATTTCTTTTTGACATCTTTACATGTTGTCACGTTCGTGACCAATGAATTGAATTCCGCTCGGAATTCCGTTTATGATCGTCTTTGGCGACTTAAACCAATTTCTAATCGTGTAAGAAGAAAAATATTGCTCGAGGTGAAGAAATCCCAGCTTAATCAATCCAATAAGGTGTTTAATTATAGGGGTGGACAAGCCCTAGGTAGGGGTGTTTCAGACAGTTTTTTTTTTAAATTTTCCTCTGAAAAAGTATTGGTGTACCCCAAAAATGTCGAAAAAAAAGTATTTCTCCAGTTCTTGGTGAAAAATACCGAAAAATACACAAAAATTTGACTTTTTCTTTTAAAAAATCAAAAAATTCATAATTTTTTTGAATTGTTTGAATCTTTTAATTTTTTTTCATCTTCTTTGAATCACTTGAATCTTTTTTGATTATCGCCCCTGGAGTGTTAAATTTTGCAAAAAGAGAATTTAATATGCTATTTTTTTACAAGGCGTTTTTCAATTCAAAAAAATTAGGTTAGGCCCATTAACTTTTTTACCCGACCCCGTATACTTACTCAGAAAATTATCATAAAGAAACTTTTGTGATGGCAAACTCAAAATTTGAAAATATTCGCTCGCTTAAGAGATACGAGGGAAAATAAAAAAATTATCAATTTCAGAATGACCATACATTTTCTTAGTTAAAAGAAATACGGATAAATGTTTATTGCAAAAGTTTGTTTATGAGATTTGCGACTTGTCTTTAACACTAGGATGGCCTCTAACGGCGAAACAAAGAACTACTGTAATGAGAAATCTCTAACACTTGGATGGCCTCTAGTGGTAAAAGTAAAGAACTAGGGTAATAACAAATTTACTACAAGAATAACTTACATCGTATTAAACAAAGGAAATACCAAAAATGGAGAATATGAAAATGACACTTTTTAATTTAAAAAAATGGTAATACGTAAAAATAAAAAAAAATGCGTCCAAATTGTTAAACAGTAATAAAAAGACTGCAATAATAAAAAACTGTAATAGACAAAAAATTTAGAATGCTATTTTTTTTTAAATTAAAATTTACAAGGCGTTTTTCCATTAAAAAAAATTAGGTTAGGCCCATTAACTTTTTTACCCGACCCCGTATACTTACTCTGAACATTATCATAAGGAAACTTTTGTGATGGCAAACTCAAACTTTGAAAATATTCGCTCGCTTAAGAGATACGAGGGAAAATTAAAAAATTATCAATTTCAGAATGACCCTACAATACAGAAAAATGTTTATTACAAAAGTTTGTGTATAAGGTTATTTTCGTCTATTACAGTTGTTCATTTTTTTTGTTTCTTTTTAACACTTTGATGATTGTTTTTTTTTAATTTTCACGCATTATGATTTGTAAAAGTATTTTTTTAAAATAAAAAAGTGCCATTTTTGATATTTTTCTCCATTTTTGGTTTCTCTCTATTAGCATTTCTTCACTTTATTTTACGGGTTTTTTTAAATTCTCATTTTTGGAATTTACCTTTATTTCAATTTTCTGGCTGTTTACTGTGTTTCATTTTGTCGAGTTCGAATTTTTGATGTATTTAATAATTTTGAAGCTTGTTTTTTATTTTTACGTACTATCATTTTTCAGCGCATTTTTTAAAGAAAAAGTGTGCTATTTTATGTTTTTCCGCCATTTTTGGTTTCTCTTCATTAGAATTTTGCACATTTATTTTTAATTTTGTTTAAATATTTGCCATTTATATTTGTTTCATTTTTCTTAGTGCGGATTGTTTTTTTTTTGGTTGTTTTTTTCGTATTTTTTTAAAAGTGCTATTGTTTCTCATTTGTGGTACTCCTCATATTAGCATTTCTTTATTTTTCGATTTTTTTAAAAATTGTATTTAAATAAACTTTTGGAATTTATTTTCACTGTGTATTGTGTTTTATTTTGTTGAGTTCAGGTTAGAATTTCTTTTGTATTTTACTTTTGTTTTTTTTTTATTTTTCTTTTGTTAATGTTTTCGTCTATTACAGTTTTGATCCTTTTTCTGCTTCTGTTTAACACCGTGGTGCTATTTTTTTAATTTTTTATTTTCGCTCCATTTTTGATTTCTCTTCATTAGCATTTCTTTATTTCATTTTCCACGTTTTAAATTTTGTTTACATTTCTGTCATTTATTTTTATTTCAGTTTCTTCATTATTAATGGTATTTTATTTTGTTGAGTTCTTGTTCGAATTATTTGTTTGTATTTTTATTTGGCAAGTTTGCTTTTGTTTTTCTATTTTTTCATCTTTTTCTTTCTGTTTAGCACTTTGGCGCTTATTTTGCTTATTTTTAACTCCATTTTTGTCCATGTTTTATTTTGTTGAGTTCTTGACCGAATTTTTTTTGTATTATTAGTTGACATACATAATTTTTTTAATATTTCCGTCTATTACAGTTGTTGATTTTTTTTGTTTCTGTCTAACACTTTGATGATTGTTTTTTTTTTAATTTTCACGTATTATGATTTGTAAACGTATTTCTTTTATATAAAAAAGTGCCATTTTTGATATTTTTCCCAATTTTTGGTTTCTCTCTATTAGCATTTCTTTATTTTACGGGTTTTTTTAAATTTAATTTTTTGGCATTTATCTTTATTTCAATTTTCTGTCTGTTTATTATGTTTTATTTTGTTGAGTTTTTGTTTGAATTTAATTTTGTATTTTTATTTGATAGTTTTACTGTTGTTTTTTTTTTAATTTTTTGTCTATTGCAGTTTTTTATTATTGCAGTCTTTTTATTACTGTTTAACAATTTGGACGCATATTTTTTTTATTTTTACGTATTACCATTTTTTTCAATTAAAAAGTGTCATTTTATATTCTCCATTTTTGGTATTTCCTTTGTTTAATATGATGTAAGTTATTTTTGTAGTAAAATTGTTATTACCCTAGTTCTTTATTTTTGCCACTAGAGGCCATCCAAGTGTTAGAGATTTCTCATTACAGTAGTTCTTTGTTTCGCCGTTAGAGGCCATCCTAGTGTTAAAGGACAAGTTGCAAACCTTACAAACAAACTTTTGTAATAAACATTTTTCGGTATTTCTTTTAACTAAGAAAATGTAGGGTCATTCTGAAATTGATTTTTAATTTTCCCTCGTATCTCTTACGAGCGAATATTTTTAAATTTTGAGTTTGCCATCACAAAAGTTTCCTTATGATAATGTTCAAAGTATACGGGGTCGGGTAAAAAAGTTAATGGGCCTAACCTTTTTTTTATTGGAAAAACGCCTTGTAAATTTTAATTTAAAAAATAGCATATTAAATTTTCTTTTTGCAAAAGTTACCACACCAGAGGCGATAATCAAAAAAGATGTAAATGATTCAAAGAAGATGAAAGAAAATTAAAAGATTCAAACGATTCAAAAAATAAAAAAATTCATAATTTTTACCCGACCTCGTATACTTACTCTGAAAATTATCATAAAGAAACTTTTGTGATGGTAAACTCAAAATTTGAAAATATTCGCTCGTAAGAGATACGAGGGAAAATTAAGAAATTATCAATTTCCGAATTCAGACCCTACATTTTCTTAGTTAAAAAAATACAGAAAAATGTTTATTACAAAAGTTTGTTTATAAGGATTGCGGCTTGTCCTTTAACACTAGGATGGCCTCTAACGGCGAAACAAAGAACTACTGTAATAGACATCTCTTGAATGGCCTCTAGTGGCAAAAATAAAGAACTAGGGTAATAACAAAGTTACTACAAGAATAACTTACATCTTATTAAACAAAGGAAATACCAAAAATGGAGAATATAAAAATGATACTTTTTAATTAAAAAAAATGGTAATACGTATAAGTAAAAAAAATATGCGTTCGAATTGTTAAACAGTAATAATAAGACTGTAATAATTAAAAACTGTAATAAACAAAACATTAAAAAAAACATCAGTAAAACTGTCAAATAAAAATACAAAATTAAATTCAAACAAATAAAACACAGTAAACAGTGAGGAAATTGAAATTGAATAAAGATAAATTTAGACAAAATTGTAAAAAATGCGCAAAATAAGATAAAGAACTGCTAATGAAGGGAAACCAAAAATGGAGGAAAAACTTAAAATAGCACACTTTTTCATTTAAAAAATGCACTGAAAAATGATAGTACGTAAAAATAAAAAATAAGCGTCAGAATTGTTAAATACAACAAAAATTCGAACAAGAACTCAACAAAATGAAACACACTAAACAGCCAGAAAATTGAAATAAAGATAAATTACAAAAATTAAAATTTAAAAAAACCCGTAACACTTTTTATTTAAAAAATATACGTTCACAAATCATAATGCTTAAAAATTAAAAAAAAAACAATCATCAAAGTGTTAAACAGAAACAAAAAAAAATGAACAACTGTAATATTATGTAATAATATGTAATATTAAAAATTCAATTCGACAAAATAAAACATGGACAAAAATGGAGCAAAAATAAAAAATAAGCGCCAAAGTGCTAAACAGAAAAAAAAGATGAAAAACTGTATAGGGCGATAACATTTATAAAAAACACAAAAGCAATATTGTCAAATAAAAATACAAACAAATAATTCAACAAAATAAAACACCATAAATAATGAAGAAATTGAAATAAAAATAAATGACAGAAATGTAAACAAAATTTTAAACGTGGAAAATGAAGTAAGAAAAATCAAAAATGGAGCAAAAAATAAAAAAA